ATACCGTGTAATGCATGCATCGTCGTTGAAAACATAGGATATCACTTGCAAATTTTGAATTCATTGTTCTGATATTGGCTCCCCTGTTAATATAGTTTTTGAAGCTCTGCGTATGCTGAATACACATACCAAGTTTGAACAATTTTGGACAAGCCGATTTTAAGTAATTTAAGGAAAAGTGCATCTATTTTTATATTAAAACTGAAAGGTGACAATGCAAACCAGGCAAATGGCTACGTACCTTATCATCCTATAATTAATTTGTCAATGTCAAATTGTATTTTTCTATTTCGTTACTTTTGCTTTTCCCTCATTCTAACCAGTTTTAAATTACAATACATTTCGGGAACACTAAGCGTAGGTACTATAAGGTAGTACTGTAGACAGCACAACAAATTACATTTGATTATGATAAAACAAGGTTGACAACTTAAGGTATGTTGACATTTGACTGGTTTTGCATTGTTACCTGTTCACTTTTAATTTAAAATAGATGCAGATTTTCTTAAATTACCTACTTAAAATTGGCTTGTCCAAAATTGGTCAAATTTGGCATACGCATTCAGCAAAGGCAGACCTTTAAAAAACGTATGTACGACTTAGCTGTAAAATTAATAGGGGAGCCAATATTTGGATTTGGACAATTCAAAAGTTGCATGGGATTTCTTATGTTTCCAATGACCATGCACCACTCACTACCAACCGGTATAATATTTTTGAACCAAAAATAATATTCGCATTAGCCTTCGCAAATATTGGCGGCAGATATTCGCGATAGTTTTTAAGAGTTTTAAGTTTAAAAGATAAATAATGTTGAAAAATTGACGTTTGGTACATAACTGTTATCATAAATTTCAGATACCCGGTACTGAAGGAAGGGCCGGCATGGTAGCCATCGTCGATCAAAGCAAAACCATAAACCTAAAAGAACTAGCAAAAGAACTGAAATGTAAATTACCATCTTACGCCATACCTATATTTTTAAGGATACTCTTATCCGCACCAATTACAGGAACGTTTAAATTGCAGAAAGTCGATCTGAAAAAAGAGGGTTTTGATGTGAATAGAATAAAAGACGAACTGTACTTTTATGACGCAAAAGTGTCAGAATACATTCCCCTGACGACTGAAATCTATGAGAATATTATAAGTGGCAAAATTAAGTTATAGTTTAATATTTTTATGTGACATATTGCTTGCATGTTTTAGACAAATTTTAGATTTATATTTAGATAAGACTGAGTAGTTACGGTGTTATAAATAAAATAGGTATTTAATATTTTTATACCAGTAAAGAAGAATTTTATAAAATAAAACAACCTCAATATTTTTTTTGTTTTATTCATAGCTTTGATAAATTGGGCTAGTAGCTAGGAAACCACGCGTGGCACTCTGTAAATTAAATAGCAATTCGGTGATTATTGTTTTGTACGATTGGATATGGTTCTTAGTGTCGAAAATTGTGCAAAAGTCATTGATCTGGTTGAAGATAGCCGAAATTATGAATATTCGCTTGGTCCTTGAAGAAGAATGGGAAAACATATTACAATATATTTGCAGCCTTATTAACTGTATGAATCGACGTCTACAGACAGTTCGGGGGAGACAATACAAAATATTAGAGTATTTTTACAAGTTTTTTGTTTGTACACTTAGTTATTACAGTTGATATTTTTCTTAATATCCTTAGTTTTTTTAGTGTAGCGATCAAGAATACTGTCAACTGTCGCTTGGTCATTTGGTTTCCACAGGTTGACTATTAGGGTTTCCGGAACTGGAGCGGTTTTTTGGAACCGAGAATTTCGGTACTATGCCTTTAATGAACCAGGATTTCGCGGTTTTCTCGGTACTTTCGAATGAATGGTAACGTTCGTCAAGTCTGTCCTCGGCTTTAGATGCATTACATCATTTGAAAACTTAGGCTGAGAACATAGTGGAGCGACGAGGAGAGCGGCGAGCAAGCAGCGCGACGCCGACGTCGCGTCTAAAACAAACCTGTGAAGACAAGTACGCGTGAACATAGTAAAGCAAGGGTAAAGCAATCTGCTCGAGCGGTTAGATCGAGCGCCGAGATCGATTCAAATTATTTTGTTTTCGTCGCTTTGTCGCGCTGTAGAAAACGATGGATTTCCAAAAATTAATAGATTTAGTGTTTGTAAGAGAGTTTTGATTGGACAAAAAGATAGTAATCACCATAACCGGTATATTTTAGATAAGTTATCTCTCCAGGTTTTGAAAATTTCAAATTTCATGTACACTACATCTTTTCGTTTGTTGGTTTCTAATAAACTAAATGTTTGCGACACTACTGTCCAGAATTTTAGCTGCTGTTAACATTTTAAATAATAAATAAGCAAATGAAACTAATAAAATTGCAAGTACCTCGCCATTCCTCGCCGCTCTACTATGTTTTAGCACCTCGAGGCTCGATCGACGCGATATCGCGCTGCTTGCTCGCCGCTCTCCTCGTCGCGCCACTATGTTTTTAGCCTAAGGCCTAAAAACATAGTGGTCTAAGGCTAAAAATATAGTGGCCTAAGCCTAAGGCTAAAAACATAGTGGCGCGACAAGGAGAGCGGCGAGCAAGCAGCGCGATATCGCGTCGATCGAGCCTCGAGGTGCTAATACATAGTAGAGCGGCGAGCATCAGATCGCTTTACTATGTTCACGCGTACTTGTCTTCACAGGTTTGTTTTGGACGCGACGTCGCGCTGCTTGCTCGCCGCTCTCCTCGTCGCTCCACTATGTTCTCAGCCTTAGCCCGTGGTTACATTGGATGCGTGTCCATGCGTTTTTTTGGTCGTACGTGCACACAGCAAAAAACAAACAAATGCTATCTACGCAGGCGGTTACATTGCATCGGAGTTTGCGCGTCCGTGCCCGTACGTCAATTTCCGTTGGTCGGATGAAAACAAACTGGTCTGTTTTTTAATACGTGCACGTCCGAGCGATCAAATTTTTCTTCTCTGATCCCAATACAACATTTTCTTCTTTTCATGAGTAGTTATTTTAACTATATCCTCACACAGCATCAAAGTAGTGGCGCTTGTTTTGACAAACTCGACACACAGGACACCATGAACGCGCATCTAATGTAACTACTAAAATAAAATAGTCGTGCGAGTAAATTCCGTCAGCGCTCGTACGTTTAAAAAAACGCACGGACCCGCGTCCAATGTAACCGCAGGCTTAGGCTAAAACAGGTCCGCGACTTCGAGCAAGTACCATGAGTTTATATGAACAATTTCACATGGGTCGCGTATGCTCCGTCCGGATGACGGCCATATACATAAACACATTAATATAAAATGGTATACGTTTAGACTTGAGCACGCACGCACTGATCCTTCGCGAATGCTCAAGTGTAAACGGCTGTGCGCGCACGCTCACTCTGAATCTGTCTGTGCGCGAGCAGCTGCGAACGTGAGCCGTCTGGTGTCGGGTTTTGCTGAAAGGGATTTTATGTGTGCGCGAACGCTCAGTTTGCACCGGCAATTTGTTTTGTCTGCGTTCGTGCGTGCGTGCGTGATTTTTTTTCGATTTCTTTATTAAAATTATGGAGTGGATCAACGAATCTTCGTTATTATTAATTGAAGAATATGAAAAATTGCCTATATTATGGGATGTTAAACATTCTTCGTATTATTAAGAAACCAAAAATAAAATAACGCATGGCAAGACCTTGTAAATAAAATTAATATTGAATATATCGATATTAATGAAATTGCTATTCTAAAATTTGTATCTTTTGTTCGTAATTTTTGGTGTTATTAAATTTTGCAAATATTCACAGTCGGGCCTAGTCATTCTTGTAAAGTTTTTGAACTGATCATAGCTCTCCTCAGACACTAAGTTGTTGCAGTAAATTATATCGATTTCTAAAAATTTGGGTTTGCCAGCGACGATGTTTTCGATTTTTCTTCCTTTTAATAATTAAGCTGTGCATAACAATGACTGCAGCCCCGACTATTTCTTGGTCGTCCATTATTTTCGCCAACACAACTCTGCTGTGCGCGCACAAGTGGATCACATTATTCGTCAAAAATAAGTTTTTAATTTGAACGGAGCCGACAGCGCAAACGAATGCCGTGCGCGCACGCTCAGCTCGTGCGTGCTCAAGTCTAAACGCACCATAAAAACACGCGAACGGTCCGCTCCATCCAAAAGCGCTGTTAAATTTGTTTATAAATTATTTCCTCCTATTTTTGTATTTTTGCGATAAATTTCTACTTACAGCGCTTTCAGATGGAGCGGACCGTCCGGGCGGATATTTTTTTCAATATAGCTCATCCGGACGGAGCATACGCGACCCATGTGAAATTCTTCATATAAGCTCATGGTACTTGCTCGAAGTCGGGAACGCTGCACTTTATCTGAAAGCACTGTAACAGACGGACCGTCCGCGTCCGTCCGCGTGTTTTTTATATCATTGTGTTTATTTATATGGCCGTCATCCGGACAGAGCATACGCGACCCATGTGAAATAGTTCATATAAACTCATAGTACTTGCTCGAAGTCGCGGACGCTCCGTTCCATCTGAAAGCGCTATTATTTACTTTAAATATCTACTATAAATTTCAGATTTGTGATACAAATGCTTGGAATAAGTTTAAAAAATAAATTTCTATGTATGATATATTAGAAAAAAGTGTTTCTGGAATAGTTCATAATTATTTGGAGCTACTAAGTAAAAAATTGTAAAAAAGCGCATATTCAGAGCGTTTGCACAAACACCGGCACCGGCAACCGGCACCATTTGTCGGCAAATTTAGGGCATCAGAGTATGTGTGAAGGAGGTAATTTATTTTTATTGCAATCGATACCAGCACCAGCACCGGTTCCGGTTTTACCGGTGTATATGCAAACGCTCGAGGACAGTAAAAAATCGATTAAATCACCCTGGCTACGCTTCAATATCCTATTTGTTTGTATTTCCCACAATTTAACCTATACTTTCCCATGTTGTTCATTTAATATTTCAATATAACCGAATATACAAATGAATAAACAAGTTAGGCCAGTGTTCACACTGGAATTAGGTTATAAAATAATACCAGCACTTGTGACAATTGGTAAATATGACGGAACGCATCCGTGTATTACCGCAGCTACTAACACAGACAAGGTAATAGAAGGCATATTATGTTTATTATTTTCGATGTATTTAAAAAATAAAATAAAAATTTAAGGCATTTTTACCCTCCTTGAAAGAAATATAAGAAACCTTATATTATATTTCTATACCGGATGCGTCTAACGTGTATAAGTTAGATAAAAAAACGAGATTTGGTATGTTAGTATATTACAGTTGAGGGTTGGAACCTTTGGTGTTACACAGCAAAATAAAAACACTAAATCACCACAATACACCAAAACATTTTTACTTTTATACTGGACGCGCGTTTCGCTAACCATGTTAGCATCATCAGCAGATGATTATAAACTGAACTTAGTTTATAATCACCTGCTGATAATGCTAACATGGTTAGCGAAACGCGCGTCCAGTATAAAAGTAAAAGTGTTTTGGTGTATTGTGTTGATTTAGTGTTTTTATTTTGATGTTAGTATATGACAGAAATTAGGATTGATTGACGTATTCAATTCTTTTCGGCCACTTTCTGTTTCACCGAAAATGACTACAACTTCTAATTTTTAAATGGCAACCTCAGTATTTTTTTTACTTTATTTGATAGAAAATGACATCCTGAATAGAATGACATATTATCTGTCAACTTTTGACATTTTCGCTTAAAACTTAATTATATTTTAAATTTTAATCTAGAGTGCCATGGCTGTGTTAAAAACACTAATCGAATGTTTTCATAAAAATACAAAATTTTCCATAGCAAAAAAGTTTCAGCGATTTGTTAAAAATGCAAATGTTTGAAAAACACCCCGTAACTCCGAAACGGTAACAGATATCGATATGCGGTTTACACTATCATGTTTTTGACAAAAATTGAGCTCCAGATACCGATATTAGTTTTCGTCCAATAGAAAAAGGCGTTTCCCTTTAAAAGCGTCCAATTTGGTCCACCCTGTACATGTAATTCCAACAAGGAGACACCCCTCGGTCGTTATGAACCGCATGTTGCAATTTCAAATAAACCATATTCAAAAATGTCAAAAGTTGACATATGATATGTAATTTTATTCTGAGTGTCATTTTATATCGACTAAAGTAACAAAATAACGAGGATGCCATTTAAAAATTAAAAGTTGTAGTTAAAAGTTGTAGTCATTTCCGGTGAGACAGGAAGTAAAAGAAAATAATTGAGTACGTCAATCAATCCTATTTTATGTCATATACTAACATACTAAATCTCATTTTGTACCCTGAAAAAATAAATAGGGGTGAGCCACTTTTGAGACGCACCCGGTATTTCATAATTATTCGTAATGGACATCTGATACCTGTAAAAAGTTTAGAATCCATGTTACAATTCTTTGTTTCCCTTGTTTGGTTCAATATTTTGATACTTTGTAGATATTAATACACAGTCCTCACAGAAAAAACGCACCAAGTATTGGTAAAATTGTTTGGTCAGAATCTAATAAGGAAATAGCAACTCTAAACATTAACCAAAACATTACAGCTCTAGTATCAGGACAACTTATTCCAAATGAAGAGAACGACGTTCTTATAATTGGTAAACTTTATAAAAATCATCCAAAAGAATGTAGGCATATATATTTTTCCTTAATTTAATCAGGTACTGCTTCACATTTACTAGTGTACCACGTTCACGACAACAAAGACATTTTCTACAAAGAATGCGAAGATGGAGTTAAATCTGTTGCTCTTGGTCAATTCAAGACATACAAGACTCCTGTAATTATGGTGGGAGGGAATTCCTCAGTTCATGGTTACGACCACAAGGGTGACGAGATATTCTGGGTAGCTATAGGTGATATGGTGACCTCAATAATGTTAATGGATTACAACAAAGACGGGAATAATGAGCTTATAGTTTGTTCTGAAGACTTTAACATCAGGATCTACAAGGGGGACCAAATTATCGCAGAACACAATGAAACAGAGGTGGTTACTGGATTGATTTCACTCGCAGAGAACAGATTTGGATACTCGGTATCAAATGGTACTGTTGGAGTATATGAGAACAGTCTAAGGCTATGGAGAATTAAAGTAAATACACTCAAATGCAAAAAAAACGCAACGGAACATTTTTTCATCAAGTTTAAAGTGTTATATATATATTTTTTTAATTTTCGTGAATTTTTTAGCAAACTGTATATAAGTCTATCAACTTTTAATCATAAAGTGTTTTTTTTATAAACTTTAGTATTTGGCTTGGATCAATTAAAGGGTCATTTTTTACCCTAACTTTAAAACTTTCTGTGCAATAATTTCATGAGTGACTTTTCCTAAAACATTATTTTTCTATATCCTCTTCAGA